GTTTCATTTGCTTATCTTTGTACCTGAAGATATGTACTGCAGGCTGTAGTTTGTTTTTTGAGCTTCATTGATGTATCTTGGACTTGTGATAGATTGTATCATGTGAGAGATGAGACTTACTTATGCTTTATCTTTGTATCTCTTGAGACATGATCTTTATCTTTATATATCAGTGGTTTCTGGACTTGAGAAAATTTGTAATGAGTGCTATGTGTGAATTACATATGTCATATTTATTTTCATAAGGACTATGCATGCTAGAATGAAAATATTTGATGTGATGCTTTTATATTTATTCTTGTGTGATATATCTTGTCATATGCATCACGGTTTCTCTTTGTCACACACACATGCACCCCACGGATGCAATGATTTAGGGGGAGTCTCCTATATGTTTTAGTATGTGCAATTGACATTTGAGGTCATTTTGTGAATTCTAATCATAAGCACATATTAAGGGGGAGCCTCTCATAAATCATTGAACCCAAAAGTTTAAATGTTTATATCATTTTGTAAGCTTTAATCAAGTTGTCATCAATCACCAAAAAGGGGGAGATTGAAAGTGCATCTAGCCCTTTAGTGGGTTTTGGTTGATTGAATGACAACGTGATTAAAGGACTAACCCGTTTGCTAAGTGTGAACAGGTAATAGGTTATCTCACAGGTACTTAATGAAAGCCAAAATGATGTGTTGTTGTATAAACAATCTAGTTCGAGCACAAGACAACAATGCAAATGGAATTCATGTGAAGGCTTATTTTTTGTGGGATTTCCATTGACTATGTGAAAGCAAGCTCATGATTATTAGTTAATGAGACATGAGGAGGGATTGCATATGGAATGGTCTCATATTTGAAGCTTGCTAAATTAAAATGAAAAGATAACAATACATATGAATGGATGATTCAACACAAGATGTGACTTGATGGCTTGAGATGGTGAAGATAGCAAGGAAAGGCTTTGAGGTACTAAGCAAGGGTGAAGGGCAAGCGACGGCTTGGCGGTCGAAGAACCTAGCTAGGGTGAAGAAGAAAGTACTTGCATTTAGTTGAGGTACTAATCAAGCTAAGATGGTCATATTGATGTGAAGAATCAAATCTATAATGAAGTATTTGATGGAAGTGACTTGATACATTTGGGGTTATTCAAATTTGATGAATGGAATCAAGTCACATGCTCAAGATGGCTATGCTCAAATGAAAAGATCAACATCAACTTGTTAGCACCCTTACTTGATGAAGATTGGAAGGGACGGCATCAATTCAAAAGAAATCAACTCAAGTGGTATAAATTCATTTTTCTTTTGATCTTGAGTTTAATAGGTATGCCGTACTATTAAGAGGGATGCATCATGTTGATAGATAATGTTTCATAAGTGCTCAAGCCAACCCATGTGAGGTTTGATTATTTGAGCGACAAATGTGCTAACTGATTTCTTGCTGGTCTGGCAATACCGGACGTGTCCGGTATTCATACCGGACGTGTCCGGTATTTGTCCAGCAGCTGCAAAATTGTTGTTCTCGGGTTGCTTCGTCGGGAGTTCCGACGTAGGTCGGGAGTTCCGACGGTCGGGAGTCCCGGCATGAGTCGGGAGTTCCGACGTCTCGCACTTCAACACACTTTGAGGTCTCACTGTCCTGGTCATACCGGACGTGTCCGGTATGGATGACCAGAAGCCAACGGCTAGTTTTCAAAAGCCGTGAGGGTCGGGAGTTCCGACGTATGTCGGGAGTTCCGACGGTCGGGAGTTCCGACATATGTCGGGAGTTCCGACACCTCACTAACTTTAACTCAGTTACATGTTTTTCAAAATTACTGAGGGTCGGGGGTTCCGACTTGAGTCAGGAGTTCCGACGGTCGGAAGTCCCGGCATTCTTCGGGAGTTCCGATGCCTCACAACATCACTGTAACTTAGTTACCGTTGGCGCAGTCTGAGTCATACCGGACGTGTCCGGTATGCATACCGGACGTGTCCGGTATTGCAACGGCTATAAAACGGCTAGTTTTTCAAGGGGGCTATAAATACCCCCAAGCCTCCACCTTTGGAGGCTGCTGATTCTACTGACTTAGACACACGTTTTTGAGCCTTGCCAACTCTCCTAAACCCTCTCTTAGTGAGTGTGTGATCCAAATTACAAAATCAATTTGTGGGTTAAGAGAGAATTTGAAAAAGAGAGCAAGCCACCACTTGAGCACTTGTGCATATTGTCAATCTCGTGATTCGCATTTGTTACTCTTGGACTCTTCGGTCCTAGACGGTTAGACGTCGCCGGAGAGCACCCGGGAGATTGTGGTGTGCCTCGGAAAGTTTGTAACGGTCGATTCCGCCGCCTCGGAATCAATTAGTGGAAGGAGGAAAAGGAGTTGGAAAAGACTCCGGCTAGAGTGACCTTCGTGGTATCCTCTAGGGCTGACCTTCGCTGGGTCGCCCGCAGCCCCCTCAACGGAGAGTAGGACTCGAACGAGTCCGAACTTCGGTAAAACAAATATCGTGTCTCAATTCGCATTTCATTTGATATTTGTGTTGCTCTAGCACTTGTGCAGGTTCTCTGTGTATACTGATAGTTAAATTAGGTGCCTGCAGTTTGGTTTGAAGATAGAAATCAAAAGGAGCAAGTTCGGGGCTGATCTGCAGAAATCGTGTATACCGGACACGTCCGGTATTCATACCGGACACGTCCGGTATTTCCTGCCTGCACTAAAAATATTTATTCTCTGTTCTAACTTGATGTTGCAGGGTTGTAGCTTCTAGATATATTCTTTATACCTTGTTTACTCTGTGGCTAACTTGTGAGGGGTGGTAGTACTCTTAATTTGGAGTTTCCATTTTGGAAACTCCCCTTTCTAATTGTTTCCGCATTTAAAGGTGTTAATTTTCAGAAACGCCTATTCACCCCCCCCTCTAGGCGACATCCTAGGTCCTTTCAACTACACCACAACCCCATACACACCACAGCAAAATGGGGTTGTGGAGAGGAGAAATCAATCAGTGGTTGAGATGGCTAGGTGTTTGTTGAAAACCATGAAGGTTCCATCAGTATTTTGGGGAGAAGCAGTGAGAACTGCTGTCTATTTACTGAACATGTCACCTACCAAGGCCCTAAACAGTAAAACTCCATATGAAGCTTGGCATGGGAAGAAGCCTAAAGTGAGTCACTTGAAGATTTTTGGTTGTGTGGCAAATGTGAAGCTGGTTGGTCCTGGAATTAGCAAATTGTCTGACAGATCTAGCAAGATGGTATTCATAGGCTATGAATCAGGCACTAAAGGCTATAGACTGTTTGATCCTTCCACCAACAGGTTGGTGGTGAGTAGGGAAGTCATATTTGAAGAAAATAAGCCTTGGAATTGGGACAACACAAGCTGCAACACAGACCAGCAAGAGACAGACACTTTTGTTGTTCACTATGACTTAACTGACCAAAATCCGACAATAGAAGGCGATGTTGAAAATGCGGAGACATCGCAGCAGTCCAGCTACAGCTGCAGGGGGTGATCTTTCAGCAAGTCAAGGGAGTAGTGTGGGACTCAACCAACCACCGACTCCCCAAATACTTCAGCTCAAATGCAAAGCACTGACTATGAACTATGCAACCCCACCAAGTCAACATTCAGAAGAAACCTATGGTGGACCTTTGAGGTTCAGAACAATGAATGACATCTTTGATACAACTGAAGAATTGGAAGATTATGAATATAGTGGGGTATGCCTGTTAGCAGCTAATGAGCCAGAGGGAGTGGAGGAAGCTCTAGTGGAACAGTGTTGGGTTGATGCAATGAACAGTGAGCTGAAGTCAATTCAGGAGAATAACACTTGGTGCTATGCAAATTTACCAAAGGGTCACAAAGCAATAGGTTTGAAATGGATCTTCAAGGTGAAAAGGGATCCATAGGGCAATATTGTCAAGCACAAGGCAATGCTTGTTGCAAAAGGATATGCTCAAAAGTTTGGGGTGGATTATGAGGAGGTTTTTGCTCCTGTAGCTAGGCTTGAGACAGTGAGACTCATGCTAGCCCTTGCTGCCAATGGAAAATGGGAGGTACATCACATGGATGTCAAATCTGCTTTTTCGAATGGTGAGCTGCAGGAGGAGGAGGTATATGTACAACAACCACCTGGTTTTTGAGTTCAAAGCATTGTGCAAAATAATGAAACTGTCAAAGGCTTTATATGGCCTAAAACAAGCACCTGAGCACTGGAATGCTAAGTTAGATCGGGGAGCTTGTTAAGTTGGGGTTTTGTAGAAGTGTTGAAGAACATGCAGTCTACATGAGAGGTAGTGGAGACAGTTTGTTACTTCTAGGAGTGTATGTCGATGATCTTGTCATTTGTGGGCTCGATGAGAAAGAAGATACAAGAGTTCAAGCAACAAATGAGCAAAACCTTCTCGCATGAGTGATTTGGGCTTCTTCGAGCTACTATATCGGGAATGGAGGTGAATCAAAAACCTGGTGAAATAACCATCTGTCAGAGAGCATATGCAGCAAAAATTGTTGATCAATGTGGCATGACAGGCTGCAATTCTGTTGACACTCCAATGGAGCAGAATTGTAAGCTACTTCCTGGGAAACCTAATCAGGCAAGAGATGTAACAAAGTTCAGAAGCATTGTGGGAAGCTTGAGGTACCTAGTGAATACTAGACCTGACATTGCCTATTCTGTAGGCATGGTCAGTAGGTTCATGGAGTCACCTACTTCTGAACATTGGGCTGCTTTGAAGAGAATTGTCAGGTATGTGGCAGGAACAACTGAGTATGGCTGCAAGTATACCTGCAGTACATTTGCAAACCTAAAACTGTTGGGATATTCTGATAGTGATCATGCTGGTGACTTGGAGAAAAGAAAGAGCACATCAGGTGTGGTGTTTTTCCTGAATAGCAACATAGTGACATGGACTTCACAGAAACAAAGAGTGGTGTCATTGTCGAGCTGTGAAGCTAAATACATTGCTGCAGCTTCAGTTGCATGCCAAGGAGTATGGCTTGTCAGACTCATTGTAGACCTCACTGGACAGAAGATGCAGAAGTTCAGGCTCCTGATGGATAGAAAATCAGCCATTGAGCTAAGCAAAAATCCAGTATACCATGAAAGGAGTAAACACATTGACACTCGCTACCATTACATCAGGGAGTGTGTGTCTAATGGAATTGCAGAGGTGGATCATGTCAGCACTGACAGGCAGCTTGCAGACATCCTGACAAAGCCTCTTGGGAGGATCAAGTTTTTGGAGATGCGTCAACTGCTTGGAGTCAGCGACGTCTGTCACGATTAGGGGGGGTGAAATGTTGATCAAGGTTCCTGTAATCATGTCAGTATATGTATCCATGTTAGGTGCATTAGTTTGTTTCATTTCCAGTTGAACATCATGTTTGTAACAGCGTAGAATCTTAGGTGCTCGGTGATTGCACACGAGCACGCTAGGACCGCGTCTTTAGGCACCTCCCCGCCATGGCTGGCACGCCGTGCATGTCGGACGGGTGACCTTAAAAGGCCAAGTCGAATGCATCAGAGAAGCTGTGTGTTTCGCAGTGAAAAGAAACCGTCCACTCTCTCGCGTGTATCGCTCTCTCGCCGCCGGTAGGGTTTTAGTCGCCGCGGTCACCACCAGCCGGTGTCGCGCCGTGCCGAACTCCTCGCCGGAGATCGGTCCAAACAAGAAAGGCGTATCTGCACGGGCTACCGCTGGAGCCGGAGCCGTCTGGTCGGTCCTCACCGTCGGCGACGAAGCTAGGGACAAAGGACCTTATCCCCCGCTGGATCGTCGTCTGGCAGCAGCCGTCCGTGCCGTCGCAGGCGGAAATGCCGCCGCCATTATTGGCCATCATCGACGACGGCGGTCGTCGCACACCACCGCGCGGGCACGAGGCGCTGCAGCCCACCACGTAGCGGTTCTCGACGCCGCGGTCCTGCGTGCCGATGTAGGCCAGCACGCCGCAGCCGACGACGGTGAGCAAGTTCTCGGTGCCGGAGACGCGGAACGTCGTGGACTCGTACACCCAGCTGTTGTCGTCGACCGTGGACGGCGACGTGGCGTTGCGGCACCAGGAGCTCAACCTGGTGTAGGCTCGCATCCTCCCGCCGGCCACGGCGATGTCGAGTACCTGCAGGCCGCCGTCGACCATCGGGATGGGCTCGGGCTGCAGCGCGCCGTCGGCGTCGCGGTTGCTGCAGGTGACGTTGAATGGCTCGTCCCCGCCGCCGTCACCGGCCGTCTCGAGGTAGCAGCCACGGCCGATGCCGAAGGGGTACGGGATCTTCACGCGGCCGCACTCCTCCCTGCACTTCGCCGCGGCCGCCGCCGGCGAGAGGAGTGCGGCAACGATCAGGGCAAGCAGCATTGCCGGCATCTCGCTCTTCAAGCCCATGGTTATTAGGAGTTAGGACTTTAGCTAGTGGTAGTGTTTGTTCTGCTCTCCGTGCTAGTGAGATATATAGATGGCGGGGAAGATTCTTACGCGCCACTACAAATAATATATATTGCCGTTTCATGCATGCATGATCCCGGCGAATTTGAGTCATGTTGAAATTCCTCACTATATATATTGATTAACTGGGTCAGGCTAGCGATGATCGTAGTTAAGGAGTGGAGCTTTTGACAATACTAGCTAACACTACTAAAGGAATGGTTTCTATGGACGACTCATGAGGCTTTATAGAGACGACTCGGCCAGCCACCCCTACTATACCGTCTCTATAAATCATGCATTTATAGGGGCGGTTTTCAGACCGCCCTTACAAATCGATTTGTAGGGGCAGCTGATGTACCAGCCGTCCCTATAATACTTGTTTGTAGGGACGGTTCAGTTTAAAACCGCCCTACGGTACATTTTCCGTAAAAAAAAAATTCAAATTTACCATTCAAATTCGAACAGAACACACATATATATATACACACATATATAATTCAACTCTGACCAGAACATATATAATTCAAATATGACCACAAGCAAAAGAGCATTATATAAACTACCATTATAAGTCCAATTCACAAAAATATATACAATCTATCATTAAATAGACATAATTCACAAGTCTAATTCGTTTCACAAGTCCAAACCGTCCCATAAGGTAAGATCAATGTTAAATTCCATACACATTGTTATCAACGGCTTAGAGCTAGCCTTTTAGTCTTACGAATGTGTCAGTTCTGAGGATCTCTACCTAAGTCAGAATCTCGGTCATAGTAGGTGCCTTTGATGTGTACAATCTGGTCCAATATGAAGTTGCAAAGGTCGCCAACGAGCTCTAAGAGTTGGTCATCCTTGTATGGGTCTCTTCTCATTTCTTTCTCTTCTTTCCACTACAAGAGAACAAGTTTCAGCCATTTTCTGTCAAAATTGAAAAAGATATGATACAAATATCTTTAGACTAACAAAAGTAGTAACTCACGACACAATCGACAACAGTACTCAGATGGAACTGCTATCAGATACAAGAATCAAAGCATTACTGATGGACCCGCTAGCAAATGAAAGAATCAAAGAATTAACTGCTGTTGTGAAAGAAACCGTCAATCAGCACTCCATCAGCAGTGCTAGCTGCTCCATTGGTTGCAGTAAGAACGTGATATTGTTAAACAGCCACTTTATTTGGCATTATTTGGCAAAATACTTTGAAATCACTAGAGCTGCAATATATAATCTATTTAACAAATATACCATTATAGGGTATCAATTACTAAAATTCAAAGACAATCTTTTTCCTCCTAGCTCGGCATAGTCATTTTCCTCCCAGGTAGGCATTTCTACAAACAGTTGATGCACTAAACTATACTGAAACAATATCACGTTCAAGTGAGACTTAAACTATACTGAAACTCAACTTAACAGCAGATATGGGAGACCTACTACAGAAATAGCAATAAATCAAACATAGCAAAAAATATTTAAGTTAAATAGATAACTATAGTTCTCTTATCAGTTTCATATATTTATATTTTGGAGCAAAAACTATTTAAGTTAACCAAGCAGAACACAGTATATCGTATATTTATTCAAGTGAGCACTAACCACATCACATGGAAAAATCAAGCTTACCCTACGATGTAGATGCAATAGAGTTTGATTCGACGCTGCAGGCCACACTGGGTCAGTACAACCATCACAGTATGCGCTCGCCTCCACTGACATACACCTATCCTGCGTACAAGGAGACACTCGAAATCCATTGGTACCCGGAGTAACCTCACTGAATCCACCCTCTAACTACACCTACAGATGCTATAGCTGTGGCCGCACCTGTGCACGCATGAGGGCAGCCATGGGGTCATCGCCCCTGTGCACGCACGAGCCCGCGCCACGGCCATAGGGCCGCCGCCGCGCGCCAGCGCCTAAAGGGGCTAGCATCGCCCTCTTACGCCGGATCCTGCTCCCTCCTTGACGGATCTGAACTACCGGCATACCACCACCAGAGAACACCAAATCGACACGCGAATAACAAAATCAGGCGTCTGTATGTGCCAAGGTTGGTAGGAGAGGACCGGATCTAAAGGAATGTGTACCTCGCCGCCGTTGGAGGGAGAAGCTCTAACCCATGCAGACTGGACGACCGCCTGTGGGCCTCAACCAGGGCGCCGCACGGGGACTGGACGGCCGCCGGCAGGCCCGGCGCAGCCGGCCCGGCTGCTTGGTGCGCTTGGTGCTGGCGGAGCCGGGAGGCCGCGCAGGCGCTGTCGCCGGGAGGTCGCTCAGTAGCACACTAGATCTGGGAAAAAGAGGGCGAGCGAGAGCTGGGAAAGAGAGAGAGCGATGGGTTTGTTTCGGGTTAGGGTTTGGGGGAGGCCGACAGCTGGAGCTGGTTTTGTTTCGGCTGGGATGAACTTTGGCCGTTCGATTCAAATCAGGGGCTCAGATCATACACAACCTTAACAGGCCTATGGGTTTTAGTGGCCCAAAAGCGAAATTGAGGCCCAAGTCCGGGTTGAGAGACGCCCCTACAAATCGACGCATTTGTAGGGGCGGCTCGTATTACCAGCCGCCCCTACTGTATCATTTGTAGGGACGGCTGCTGTGCTGGAGCCCGAGCACGTCACTCACGTGGCAAGCGAGGTGGGTTGTTAGGACACGTATGTATGTTCTTTGAAGGGGAAATTAGTTTCAAACTCATGATTGCATCCACTGAAAGCCTCAAAAGCTAGCTGCTTTATACATGCATGTAATAATGTTCATACTTCTTTCCTGGCCAACTAAAGCAAAAGCTAGATTGAGTAGCAAGCAATGGACCGGCCGGCCATGGTGAAGGAAATATATATTATTGGTACAAAACAATATAAACAATGCATGTTTTTTTTTAGACACGGCGACACGAGCGAGGGTACTTAACTATGCAGCAGATTATAAAAAGACTAGTCATTGTCTTATGTTCATACACCTTGTGTGTCTGAATAATCCTCAGTGGGCATAAAGTGGAGCTCATGCTAGCTAGCGCTGTTTCCGTGAAATCAAACTAAAGTTGGCAAAGCGGATGCATGCATCCTTGTTTATTCGTTTGGATAAGCCGGGATTATATTCGGGAACGAACTTGCGCTCTTACGACCGTATGTCACTCCTCGATCTTCTTGTTCATAGTCATAAGCCTCTTGCAGATGCTCCATTAATTCTTTCTTTTTGGGGGGCTCCTCACCCAAACAACGTACCGGTATCACTACCATCACTTTCATCGTACCTTTAGGCCTTTGGCCATAAGGCATGAGGGAATGTCGAAGATGGAGGGTCATTTGTTGGTGGCGATACCAGCAAGGGGCTTGGAAGGGACCTAGGTGCCCCTCACAAACATCCTCAGATATTGATCCTGAGGTACCGTACGATGGGAGTGCCCCTACTATCGCGAGAATTCTTCTAGTGTCTGAAAAAACGACCATGACGGTCTCAACCACTACAAACCACGGAGGCCAACCAAAGCCATTATTCTCACAAGAGGCACGTAGCTAGAAGAAGTTTGGGATGGTCTACAAACATTAGCGCCTAAGCACCCTATTTATAGGACAACCGGGCAAAAGTAGGGGATTGATCCGACGGTCCGGATGATCCGGTGAAAATTGGCACGGGTGGGCCATGGGTGCATGGCTCAGGTCACCGTACCTCAGGCACGCTCGGGGCCGCTGCTTTGAAGTGGTGGCTGCTTGGGACGGACCACACATGCGTATGCGGCTCAACCACGAGTGGGCACCTAGGGCGTGCGTCTCCGGCGGGGCACCTACACACAGGCCAGATGACAAGGGACGTGGGCACCTACAATTTGCGTTCACGACAGGAGCGTGATGGTGGGGCAAAC